AGTTGCGCTGCCACTGAATGTGGTGGGGGCACCGGCTGCAGCATTTGCCTCTTATGTCAAAGGAATATGAGGGTTTTTTTTTTTTTTTTTTTTAAAAGTGTCCTGTTCACATACTTGTCGTTTGTAATTCTCCCCCCACTGCCCCTTCCTGTGCAAGGAGAATGGTATGAAATAGCACCAGAGCGCACTATTTTTAAAGCAAGAATTGGATCATTATGTGGAGATTTCCAAAATTTTTCAGCTTGTCAACTCCCACAAGTTTGCCAGCAGAACTGAGGATCCCTTTTAGTTAGCTCCATATGCCATTTCCACAAAGAATATATGAACTTGCTTTTCGTAGGCAGCTTTAACAGATCCATTCAAAGTAGTCTGTCAGCTGCACGCCAGCCATCAGGCTGAATGTCAGCACAATAAAGAGTGTTTAAATCTCACAGCTTAATCCAGTTTCACATACTGAGGTGTTCCTATTCAATTATTTTAGTCGACTGTTACCAGTAGCTATAAGGTATAACGCAAATACATTCAAAATTAAAACTTTGGATTTAGCTTTACTTAAAATAGAAAAGAACGAATAAAATACAGGGTGAAGGGCTGGAAAGGAAATAGTATCATAATTTTTGACACTTCTGGGAGCTGGAAGAACACAGCAACGTAAGTGTTGTCATTTACACTTTTTCAAAGTCACACCTAAGGAGATCATGTCATGGGCTCCTCCTATGAGGATAGGTTTGCTATTTTTCTCAGCTGCAGCACCAACCTTTGGGCACCTCATACAGAGATTTAACTTGCTGTCATTAACCATTTGGTGTTTTCAAAAACAGGAAGTGCCACTAGGGAAATTGAAGATAGCAAGGTCAAAGCAGACTGCTCTTAATAAGTGTATGAACCCAGCTGAACACACCAGAAGATGAGCTCTCAGTCACTATGCTACTTTTGAACACAGGGAGAGGCCAGAACAGTATTTCCTTGACAATGTGCAATGCTCTGGGAGCATATCGGACACTGGAGCAGTTACTGCTGTGCGTGTTTCACATTTTACATTTCCAGGACTGAAAGGAATTGGTAGGCTGGAGGACTATTTCGTACAAAACCCTGTACGCAAGCAATGATGAACTATTAGCAACCTGGGCATACTTCTGTAGTACTAGTCTCATAATCTTCAAGCTGTAATTCATAGTAATTAGTATTTGTGAAAGTGTTTTGTACATGAAAGGTATTATGCAAACACTCAGAATTAGGAGCTTAATTCTCATCACAAGCCTGACCTACCATTCCCTGATGGTGATTAAAAAAGGCCTCGTGCCTAGCATACATCAGTTCCCTTCTTCCCCTCTCCTATTCTCTCTTTATGAGTGGTATCCATCATTAAGACTTAGAATTTCTTGTACCAGTATACACATTATGCAAATGAATGTTTGCTGTTAATGAAAAATTATGAGATCCAAGACCCTCCCGGGCCTGTGAAAGCCAGCTGAGGCCAGATATGCCCTTCATTAATGAGCCATCACCAGTACCTCCTCCCAGAGACAAAACTCCCCAAGAAATGCAGTAGTTTCCCCAAAAATCAAAACTCTAGGGTAACTATCAGCCACATAGCTGGTGATCATGCAGTGTTTTGACAGGATGACATCTCAGAGTATTAAAGAAAAAAGCCTTTTATGTGTAGACAGAGGTATCTGACTAATAGTGTATGCATGTGCTTGTGAAAAATTAAACCATACACGACCTCCCTAGCAAAACAGCCCCAGGATGTTTTCTGCTGCTATCCAATCTAATCCACAGATAGACTTTTGTGCCATGAAAGACAGCCTACACTGCATACTGTTATCTACATCAGATGTTAAATTCTGCCTGTACAGGTAAATAACAAGGCGTACAAGCAACCAGAGGCTTTTGAAGAAACTGCAGTTCACACAATGTGATAAGCAGATGCTCCTAATGTCATCAGACACACGCTTCAGGGGGAAGTTAGACGGTGTGAGGACAAGACCTGCTCTTCCCATGCTCACACGCATGTCCCTTGCTACCCCAAGGAGACTCTAAGCTTCACTCTTTCAGCCAATCAAATTGCTCTTCCCATGCTATTCTTCACAGGTTTTCTATTGGCTTCGGGACTTGAATGAGCATGAAGGCATCCAGAGAGTACCAGAGCAGGTGCAAAAGCGAGGCAGGACCACGCAGAGAGGTTTACTGTGCTGATGCTACAAGAACAACAAGCCTGCCTGCTCCAGGGCACCTTTCACAGAAACCTCGACAGCCTGCATTGAGAGTAGGCAGCAACGCACTGCCTGTTGAGCAAGTAACTTACTCTGGCTTTGGACATAGTGAGTCTTTACATACAGATTTTTCCACGGTAGAGCTATCCAATCATGCACGCCTACTGTATTTTAAACATAGACCATCCAGTTTACTTAGTAAATGGCCTTAACACATACTATGGCTTTGCCACTTACAGCTTTAAAAGCCTTCTTTCAAAAGAAAAAAAAGAAAGCCCCAAGCCCTAATGGTTCAGAAAAAAGCAAACATCATCTAATTATCGAAATGAGATAGCAGTATATAAGTGAAATGAAAAGTACATTTTGAAAGTTTGTGACACTCTCATACACGATCTGTTTAATCTCTCCTGCTCTTGCTGTGCTCTGACACCACTATTTTTTTTACAGGTACATCTCTCTCCCTTTGCATCTCTCTCCACACAATCCCCTGCATTAATAGAAACTCAAGATGTGATTAAACAGAAAAGTAAATCCAGTTTAGATCATCTTTTACCACCCCTAAATGTTACTGCCAACTGACAAAAAGACTATCCAATACAGGTTTACTCTGCTGGCTCAGTTAAATCAGATGGCAAGGACGGGGCAGTGAAGAGAAGCGCGAGGACAGACTTTGGCGGCAGCAAACATTTCATGGGTAGCCCGGGCAATGTAAGGGCTCACTTCTCCCTCCAGCTACCAAGTTACCCTTTTTCTTCTTTGCCCCACTGCTGGAAATCAGGCTCGCCTTAAGCTCTCTCCACTGAAAAAGGATAAAATACCTAATTTTTGGAGCAGGCTAATTTTATGCTGTATTAGCACAACTAAGCAGCCTGCAGAGGGGTCCAAAAAGCACACATGGCAGCACAAGGTACACAGTAGAGAAGGAAACGGATGGGAGAGCAGGATGCTCCTCATTTTTGTGGCAGAGAGTTATTAAATTTGCTTACTGCATTTCTCTCTCCAGCCAGTGCCTTGGACAACATGTTGTTCAATTATTTGCAACTTATTTGTCAATTATAGCAGCATTTCCCTAACTTGGAAATAAGGCTGTCTTCTCCACACTGATTCCTTTTTAGGAAACTAAGCAAGCTCCTTCATTCATTTTCCCACTATACTTTCTATGTGTTGTTAGAGCCCTGTCTTATTTTGGCATTTGAATCAAATTCAACTGTATTTTACCACGCATAGTCTCCACTTCATTGAGAAGTCATGATTCTTCACTTGCCTAAAAACTTTTAACAACTGTTCAAGCATTAAGACACAAGCGTACTGTAAAAGTCTGAGCCAAGTTGCAGAGGGCCTTTTCTCTCCCCGCTGACTGAGTCACTTGGGTGAGCTGCGGCTTTAGAAGATTTCCGTAATAGGCAACTCTTCCTCTCTTTTTCTGTTTTAATGAATGGCGAAAGAGTTAACTTGGGGCCATTTAAAGCATCAACACTGGCAACTGTGCTGGAAGCACTGAACTGACTGGGACAGCATTACAGAGCTATTGTTTCAGACTCTGCAAATTTCCATTAAAACCACTTGAGTCATGGCTTTAATTCTTTTTTTTTTTTTTTCCCTTTTTTTGCATTACCAGACCCTCTCTTTAAATGAAAGCTGAACTCAGAACAACTAGGGTATCTGATGATGTTTTCACTACTGCAATTTAAGGAGTTGCAATCTATGCTTTTAAACCTAATACCCCAATCTCAGCAGCAGAAGTCAGCAATTCCTTAATACTACATGGAAATGTTTGCTTAACAAGAACAAAAATAGAACAATGGAAAGGTTTGCAAAAAACAGCCCTCGACACCCTTGAAAGATACTGTGTAGGCACAAAGTTGACATTACACTAGTCTCTTGTATTCAGTCAAATGAATGCTGTATTCAATTTTTTTTTTTTGCCATTTCTCTTGATTGAAAAAAAAATAACTAAAACAAAGGCTTTTCTCTTTTATAATTAGAAATATTTAATTCTGCTCCAACATTATGGCTGTAATAAATTCTGTCAGCAGCAAGTAACTAAGTCAACTACCAAATAGCTTATTTTCGTGTTATTTACCTTGATATAAATTACTCAGTTCAAGCAATTAACACAGTTTTAAATTGCTTATTCATCACGCTGTCTTCAGAATCTGAAAATCATTATGCAAAGGTTCCTTATGAATATTATGAAAAAAAGATCTAAGAGATATTTAATGTTGTTATTCATTTATAGTTACACTTCATTAAAAGATTTTTCACTTACCAGTCAGCTATACATCCTGTTATTAGGTGGCCAAAGATTAATCCTACCAGTAGGGAGAATTTAGCAATGTGGACTTTCCAGGCAGAATCACAAACAAGATCCCACTGGAAGAAAAAGATAGATAAACTGAAATAAATTAGTTAATTCCAGATGCGTTTAAACATACTAACATTGCTGTAGGCATTCTTCCCGGTGTCAGTGCTTGCATGAGAGCGTACAAACAGGACCGAGGGGGGAGAGCTTTGCCCCTCAAGTCGAACCCCACATCACAAGTAGTAAATGAAAAGACCTTCAGTGAGTTTCATCAGGCAAGTATTTATAAAACGAAAATATCCAATGCTTAATCCTCCCCCTCCTCAGCCCATGTGAATTTAGACTAAGGGGCATTTCTTCAGCACTGGCACTACTAATATAACTGAAGCACATCACAAAAATACCCCAAGACAATGGCTAACAGTCCTGGGAAGCCCACCGCCAGCAAGCCAGACAGTTTAAAAGGACATCCTTGTATTTACTTTCTCACGGTCTCTTGGGAAAATGGGGAAAAGCAACCACTTTGCCCCAGACCGTGGTGGCCATCAGTTTCAGGCTACTGCAGACAAAGCCTCAAGACACTTTTATTTTCAGAAAAGCGCCCCGGCTGCAGAGGCTGTGGGAGGTGACCAAGATGGACTTGCACTGCAGCTCAATCCCGGGGTTACGATGAGCAAGGCCTGACTGCTGTGGATGGCAGGGGACCAGGTACAGCTTGGTCCAGCTGCCTCAAAGCAACGTCTCACAGCACAGGGATCAAACGGAGGCTGAACCCCCATGCCAGAGCCATCCCTGATATTCAAACCACCCTTTCTATCCAAAGGGGGAGAAAACGGACCATTTCAGGCGTTATTAGGGCACTGCTACGTTCCTGTGATATAGACAGGGACAACGAAGTTTCTGTTAAGGTTTCCTTAAACTCTACAACATCTTCCTCTCACGCATTCGACCAGGCCTCAGGAGAGCCAAGCCGAATTTCTGGCTTTGGCTCAGGCGTTCTCATTGCCTTCAGACACATAACTTAATCTCTCTTATGTGTAGAGTGTGGATAGTATTATCCTACCGCTGAATAAACGTAGGAAGATACATTTGTTCGTGGTTTGTGAAGTGTTCAAATAGCGATAGTAATGGGAGCCATACACATTTCATGAAAAATGAGCACAGCTAACTTTAGAGAGTCAGAGATTCCCAAACTGAAATTCTGAAGTGTAAGTGGTTATCTATACGTAACGCAACGGCAGTGGTCCTCTGGATAGCACTAGGCTGTAGTTTCATGGCCAAAGAGTAAAAATATGCAATTTATTTTTTCAAAAGTCAAATGCAACTTCAAAACAAATCTTCCTACAAAAAGAGTGCAATTAGGTGCACTGGCATTTCAGGTGATTTCATAAAATACATCCCTTTCACAAATAAGGCTAGATCTGACTCATCCTTCTAGCTCCAACGTCACAGAAGATAGTCTCCCTAGCATATCCATCTCATCAAGAAGTATAGCACTCTTTTGGCCGAAAAAACTTGTGCCAACTTTCTGCAGACATTCAAGTTCAGGTTTTTTGTTTTGGTTAAAAGTATTTTAACTAGGATTCTACAAGTACTGACTTGCAGAAGTTGGGAGATGCACATCTGATCCTATAAGCCATTCTGCAAGCTCCGTATTGAAAGCACTAGGAAACTGGAAGCAAATAGCACGCATGGATACTTTTTTCACCAAATACCTATGAACTATTTACAGCAACCAGCTCAGCAAGGCAGTGAATACTGCTCTCCAAAGATGTTGACACCTAACAAGTATTTTATGTAGAAAGTAGGGGAAATGCAATTCCTAATATTTGCAAATAGAGAACTAATCTCCAGCTTGCAAAGAAGATATCTGTCCAGATAAGCCATGGACAAAAAAGGCAGTAGATACATCTGAGCTCCAGAAAGACTTTCAGACGTAATTGTTCAGGGCTTATTTTCACAGCCCAGAAGGTGTATACTATGCTTAAAAATGAGAAATATTTTTTGACTGTGGAGTCTAAGTCAAGTTATTAAAAATAGTCACAATTACATAAGAAAGCTTTTTAAAGGTCATATCTACAAGATATTTGTTTTTATTTTATTGCTGTCAGAGGAAAAGTAATGTCATCCAAGTGCAAAAAAGAAAAAAAAAAAGCTGATATCCTGGTGCCTTTTCATCTTCACAGCATACTATTGCTAGTCAAAGATATCTGGCCCTTATATAAACCCCAGAGAGAGAATGTTTAGTACCAAATTACATGTAGGTAAAGGTTCATGGTCGGGGGAGCCAAAATCTCATTAAGAGCTCTTGTGAAATTTCAGGCCAAGACAACAGATGTCAAACAAAACTGGCCACTTTGGCACACTGACACATACAGCTAGAGTTTAAGGGGGAGGAGGGGGAGAAGAGTTAATCTATCAGCAGGTCCTTCAATAGTGCCTGAAACGCACCCATTCCTTTTGATAAGTCATCTGTAAATCACTTTTTTATTTTATTTTTTTTAAAGCTATGGACCAAATCTTCAGCTGTTGTGATAATAAAGAACAGATATCTCTTTCCGAACCCTTTATCTGGCTATTTCCTGCCTTTGGTTGAACCCTGCCTCAGCAATCCAACGCAAGTCTATTCAAAACACTGTTGATTTCCTAAGTTCACAAGGGAAGTGTAACATGGGTGCTGATAGGTGCAGGGAGCGCCTGAGCTCCACTGAATCTGTTACTCCAAAAAAAATTTGTCAGAGTTTGTAACTGGGGAAAAGGTGAAATATTTCACTAGTGTTTTTTTTTTTTTTTTTAAAAACAGGAACTTTCTGTGAATCTGCCACAATCTAAAAGAACTTCCTCAGTAATAAGAGGTCAAGCATACCTCAATTTCTTCTCTGTCAGCTGTTACAAACCAGAGATAGATCACTGTAAAGAAGTTATCCAAAATAAACATGGAATTTGTTATACAAGACAATGAAAGTCAATTCAGGCAGAATTTGTGTGGGTTCCACCAGGCATTTGACTTGAAAAGAGAAAGGAGAGCACAGAGAGGGCACAAAAGAAAAATGGATGCATATTCAATAGCACACTCAGATAAAGATTGCATTAATAAGAAAAAAAAGTATTTATTAAGTAGTAGATTCTGTCCATCAGTCTTTGACACAGCAACAGAACAAACAAATGAGCACGCCTTTATCACACTGTAAGTATAAGGATTTTGCCAGGAACCTGTGCTCCTCCCTCCCTACCCTGACCCATCAAAATCCAAAAATGGAGGGTTTCAGGCTCAGTTTAGAACAGCTGGAAATAGAAGGTTGTCAAGTAGGAAGCGTTATATAACATCGATGCCGTCTTTCCACTTACGTACGTACACCTCTGCTCTGCAGAGCAGAAAACATTTGACGCATGCCCTCGTGTCACGGGTGTGGCTAGAGCCATGGCAGCTCCTGCTGTAAACCCTAAGGGCTTCATCCTGCAAATACAGCACTCGGGTTTACTCCGTGAAGGAAGAAATCACAGGTGTCCGTGTATTTGCAGAACAAAATGCTGGGACAGGCGGTGCTGCCAACAACTCAAGTGGCACTCCCAATAAATCTGCACTAGGAGACTGTTTTGGCCAGAGACTAGTCAGTAGTCCCCTACTGTCTCTTACAGAAGGTAAAGATTAATGTTACATGCAGGCCAGACCATTAAACCCTCTCACTCCTCTGGCAAGACCCCCCAGATGCCCTGTTTGGCAGCTAACACAACTCCCAGCCGGAAGAAAGGGGGCTGCTAAGTAAGTTTACAACGCTCCCTGGGTTTTCTTTCTGTGTCCTCCCTCCCAATCTCTAATACAAGAGATTTGACAAAGTAACAGGCTGAGCAATAGTACTGAATTTTTATGTCTAAAACAATAATTATCTACCAAACATGATAGTTTTGTAGTGGAGATGCAAAATATCTGTGGAGATAGTGGAGAGGGAACCTTTAAAACAAACAAATAAAGCATTTTTGATAGCACTGCAGCAATGTGCAGATTTTTCCACCTGTGCAATACATTGCAAGTGTTTTTTTTTTTCATGTTGTGACAGCAATTTTCATCAAAGCTTAGGGAGTCACACCTTAAGGATCTTAATGTTTAATTGATCTCAATGAGTCACCACCCATGCTGTGAGTCACTATGCTTCAAACTAGAAGTCAAGATGGAGGACTCTGAAACATGGGATGTTTTGGAAGACATCTGGTAAAAGTTAATGCGTCTAAAAAATAACCATTCTGTAACTTTTGCACCAGCAGCGGAAACCTGGATAAGGCTCCAGTGAGCCAGGATTCACACTGAAGTTAAGGAAAGGTTCATTAAAGTACCAACGTAAAATTTGCTGCATGACTGTTATTGTAAACACAAGTCCTTTTAATTAAGGGCTCCTGCCTTGAAATTGGTCTTTACTTCCTCCTATAGGAGCCATAACACCGTGGCGCCTGAACAAACTAAAGAGCCCTTGCAAGAAGATCGTAACAAGATGCCTACCAAGGATTTGGTTTGCCCTGTCTTCATCTTGACTGCATGGAAAAAGGTGCAAGGACGACCCATGTGCTGTAAGAAGAGCAAAGAGACAGGAGGGAGGGTACTCCTGTCCAACACGTGCCCAGAGCCCGGCACAAGAGCCCGTGGGAGGAGTTCTGCGAGTGCAGCTTGTGGGCTCGCAGCCAATTTAAGGTGATTGGCGTCCAGACTGCTGCCAAAAAAGAGCAGACCCTTCCCCAAACAATTTGTAGATGGATGGCGTCTCTGCTTTAACTGCTCCACGCATCAGTTTCGGCGCAAGAAGGCAAGAGGATCAGCCGCCTCACTGCCCTGGAAGACCTACGCCAAGCATGAACTGTGACCTCAGCCCTTCTCCAGCAAGACAGCTTCTCGCTTCCTGTGCTGGGCTTCACGAACTTCGTTTTGAGGCACATAACATGCCCCACACGCTGCAAATAGCCTCTCAGTCCTTAGAGTTAAAGCCCCGCTTCTGGAGTCCCAGGCATCTGAACACCACATATTCCACAGCTTACCCCAGCAGCCCCCAAACCACTCTCAGAGAAAAGCCAGGAGCTCTTG